GTGGAAGGGAATTCGAGGCAGGGGGAACAGCATATGCAAAGACACAGAGTCATAAGCGGAAAACTAAGTGTGCTCAGGAAAGCAAGAGCTAGTGATAATGTTGGGAGCTTCTAGTACAGAGCGCAGAGATGAGAGATAGGGCTGAAGAGGGAGGCAGGAGAACACGAAAGGGTGTGTACAGGTTTCATATTTGCAGAGACCTATAAGTCACATGTTACGTCTATGCAATTCATGATCATTTATTGAGCTCTTTCTATGCACAAGACACTTTTCTGATCTTCCCGGCAATCTTCATTCACCTCTGTCACTAATGGGGCTGTCTTAGACACCACGCAGTCTAGACCTATTTTATAGATGAGGAAACTGAATTCAGACCAGTTAATGTGATACCTGAGAGCTCCCAAATAGCTAGAACCCGGATCTCCCCATTTCCCGGCCCTCCGTCCCAGTCCCTTACACTGTGTGTGCAAATCAAGCCCTTTGGAGCTGAAGTGGCTTCTTATTTATTTAGGAACTAACTGAAATAGGCTATGAAATGATCCTCAGGGCAAAGAAATCCAGAATCTCATGTGAAGTTCAGAAAAATCAATGGACCACATGACCTGTGGAACAGACTTCCACTGCGTAAGCATAATTCTTAGTTTGAAGACAAAGCGCTTGTCAGCACTGAGCTCCCTTCCAGGCTGCCTTAGAAGCCCACTTCTGACGCCGGCCTGTCAGTTGCTCAATAGTGGTGTCAGTTTGCACACGGTCCACCTGCAGGCTGTTATCCCTCTCCAGATTCTCCCGCTGACTTCGCTGTCATTGAGTGAGCCCTTTCAGGCCCACTCCTGTTCTTGTTCAAAGCCACCCGCAGGTGCCATCGATTCCATCAGCATTCTTTGCAGGCTTCAGCCCTCTTGGTTTGCAGAGACAGCAAATATTGGGAGATTAGAAGCTATGTGCTTTTCTGGAAAGTGCAGGGCCCTGCAACTGGGTGGGTTTGCAGAGACAGAAGGAGGGGCCAGACAGTGGCTGATGCTTGACCAGAGTCCATGAGGAGGCCTTGCCCAGGTGAGTGGTCTCCGGGTGACCGCTTCATTCCTTACAGCCTCCTTGGCTGCTTTAATACGAGTCCTCCATGCCACTCAAGATGATGACTGCACATTCCTGCCCCTGGTTCATTCCTCTCCACCCCCATCCCAACTCAGGCGCCATCTTCTTAACTGGAAGTCAGTGGGCAGCACGTCTGCCCAGCCTATGTAGGATGCTTGGAGTTGGTCCCAGATGTGTACCCTTAGGTGCCCTTGAGGTGTGGGGTAGTGGGCAATGCCCAGGTTTGGTGCCAGACAGACAACATGCATATCTCAACTTCATGAGTCACTAGCTATGTGACTTTGAGGAGGTTGCCTGCCTTTCCTGAGCCTCTATTTTCGAAATGGGCATAGACCAGCACTGTCTGATATGGTAGCCGCTAATCACGTGTGGCTACTGAACGCTTGAGATGTGGCTAGTCCAAACTGAGATGCTCTGTAAGTGTAAAATACACACTGGATTCCACTGCCCCCTGACCCGCCCCAGCCAGGTCTGACAGTGCCTGGAGGCACTGCTGGGAGGCCTGGCTGGAAGCCTGCAGAGCATTGGTGAGGCCTTTATGGAAGGCCCTCCTCCTGACCTGTCACATTCATGGAGACATCAGATGTCTAGGAGGTCAGACAGGTGCTGTGGATGGCAGCCTCTTCGGGCCAGGCCTCACCCATACCTGGTATGCCCATGGCATAGCATGGGGAGAGCATTCCATCTTCCCACACCCTGCCTGGGTTCCAAGGTGCCACGCTGGGGGGCCATGGGGTGTAGATTGTGCCAACAGGAATTTCTAGCTCTGGCTCTGCCACCTACTGCCTTAGTGAACTTAGCTACTCCCTCTAAACCTAAACTTCCTTATCCCTCAAATGGACGGGCCTCCCAGGGCTGCTGCTCAGTAATTCTCCAGGCTTTTTATTTTAGTTCATTTTATTTTTGCTGCTAGATGCTCCTTGACTTGTGGATGCATCATTCTAATCTCTGCCTCTGCTGTCGCATGGCCGTCTTCTCCTGTGTGTCTTTGTCTTCACATGGCATTCTCTCTTATAAGGCCACTAGTCGTATTGGATTAAGGTCTGTCCTACTTCAATATGACCTCATTTTAATTAATTACATCTGCAATGACCCTATTTCCAAATAAGATCACATTCTGAGGTACTGGAGGTTAGGATTTCAACATATCTTTTTGGGGGACGTAATTCAACCCATAACACATCAGCAGGGCCTGAGGGCAATGTCTCCTACCTGCTCCCTGGTTTGGCTGTTTCACTCTATTGGAAGTCACAGCCTCCTCTCCTGTTAGCAACTCTCTCTGGGTTCTGGTAATAATTTTTCTCCCATTTGCCCTGGAACTGCATCCATCTCTTGCTGATGTCCCTAAACCCTTGCTTACCACTTTATAAATAGTTCTTGATTAAACTGTCCTCCAATTTCCCAATTTGTGCATCTGTTTCCTGACACAATGCCTTACTGTCCATCCAACTATCTAACCATCCGTTCATCCATCCACTCATCCACCCACCCACCCATCCATCCATCCACTCTTCCATTCTGCGCAGCGTGGAGTTCATTGTGGGTGCTCAATACGTTTAGGAAACACTGAGCATCTATGCTATGGTCAGTGCTAGGTCCTATGCCAGGAGTGTAGAAAGTAAAACACAGCCTCTGTTCTCCAGAAGCTGATGATACAGTGTGGGGATAAGAATAAAATGTATACCTCATTCACTAATAGTTCTCTGCATCTAGTGGCAAAAAAAAAAAAAAGCCTAGAGAATTACTCAGCAAGATCTGAAGAGGACTTAGAAGGTGCATTCTGGGCTTTGTTATTTTTAAAGTTTTGAGGTAGTTTAGGTCTGAAATTTTCTGCTTGTCTTCTTTTTTTTTTTTTTTAAAGATTTTTTAAATTTTTTTCCTTTTTTTCCCCAAAGCCCCCCAGTACGTAGTTGTACGTTCTTCGTTGTGGGTCCTTCTAGTTGTGCCATGTGGGACGCTGCCTCAGCGTGGTTTGATGAGCAGTGCCATGTCCGCGCCCAGGATTCGAACCAACGAAACACTGGGCCGCCTGCAGCGGAGCGCGCAAACTTAACCACTCGGCCACGGGGCCAGCCCCTCTCTTTTTTTTTTTTTTTTTTTTTAAAGATTTTATTTTTTTCCTTTTTCTCTCCAAAGCCCCCCAGCACATAGTTGTATATTCTTTGTTGTGGGTCCTTCTAGTTGTGGCATGTGGGATGCTGCCTCAGCGTGGACTGATGAGCAGTGCCATGTCCGCGCCCAGGACTCAAACCAACAAAACACTGGGCCGCCTGCACTGGAGCGCGCAAACTTAACTGCTCGGCTACGAGGCCGGCCCCCTGTTTGTCTTCTAAGAGACAGAAAGAGAGACCAGAGTAAATAACTGATATCTCCTTCTGAAAGAGACTTCCTGATGACCAGCTGCCCCCTGACGACGTCCTGGGAGGATGGCTTTCCCTGGGGCCCCTGAGCCAGCACTCTCTTCACTCTCTGGTCCACCCAGAAGGGAGACGAGTTCTGAGATCAAATACAGGTTCAGGGGAGGGCGGCAAGCCAGAGGCAATTTGGATTCATGAGTCAGCTCTTCAATGGCTTCTTTGAGCAGTCCCTGTGTAACTTGTAAGGGGCTGAGCATGGAGGACAGTGTCACAGAAGCCCGCCGAGAAGCTGAGCCTCCTCCAAGGATGAGCTAAGTCAATTCAACAGGTCTTGGCCAAGCCCTCCTGAACAGCAATTCACATGCTAGGCTTGGCAATACAGGGATGACACTAGCCTGTCCCCGGCGGTCTCATAACCCAGCTGTATTGAGAATGATGCACAGGGGTGTCCAGGAGACTTGCCCAAGGTCATGCAGCCTGTCAGCGGGCATTAGGTGTGAGGCAGCGGTGAGATTTATTCCATAAATATATACTGAGTGCCTACTGTGTGCCTGGCATTGTCTGGGTGATAGGCGCAGCAGATGAGATGCAGAGAGAGGGCCCCTGACTCTGGAGGCCTTTCCTTTTGGGGGCAAGGAGGGAGAAGGGGTGTGTGAAGACTATGTGGCTGCACCTTGCACAGGCTCCAGAAACTGCCAAGAACTGAGCTGGGTGTGAGCTCTCACAGGGCAGAGACCCTCCTACTCTGCTTTGTACCTCCAGGCCCAGCACATAGTAGGTGCTGAGTGAACCCTGCAGAACTTAATTGATTCTGACTTGCAGATGAGGCGTTACAGAAATGGAGACGTGGGGAACAGTCTGCCTTCTAAATGTTACAGTAACAAGCAGTCGGCAAAACTGCCCTGTGGAAAGGCCACTCGCTCCCCTCTCTCTCCCTGTCTATCTCTATGGGGACCATTACCAGGACTGGTCAAGGTCAAACAGTCAACCAAGCAGCAATACTCCCAGGGGCTCCAGCAGCTGCATCTTGGGTTTATCCTACTGCGTGAAAATCTTTTGTGTTTCATATTATGAATCTCTATACACGATATCAAAGTCTTTTTGTTATCGCACAAATATGATAAGAACATTGCATTTTTAAGAAAGAAAAATAAGCCATCCGTTTGCCATAGAACTGATTTAATGTTTGCGTTTCCCTTGCAGTCTTTGTCTATACGTGTGTACATTTTATACTCAGTGGTAATCACAGTGAACGTATAATTTCGTATTCTGATTACAAAGCCTTTTTTTTTTTAAACGCTTTTTTTTTTTTTAAAGATTTTTTATTTTTTCCTTTTTCTCCCCAAAGCCCCCCGGTACATAGTTGTGTATTCTTCGTTGTGGGTTCTTCTAGTTGTGGCATGTGGGACGCTGCCTCAGCGTGGTCTGATGAGCAGTGCCATGTCCGCGCCCAGGATTCGAACTAACGAAACACTGGGCCGCCTGCAGCGGAGCGCGCGAACTTAACCACTCGGCCACAGGGCCAGCCCCGAAAGCCTTTTTTTTTTTAAGCACTTATTCTTTCATATAGATTCTGAGCTTGGGTCCAATCTTTGTTGGCATCTCAGTTTTCCTCTTAGGGGCACGTCACTGAAAAGACAAAGGGAGATGTTTTCATTGCTTGTGTTGGGTGTCTGTGAAATGCTTTGTTTTTCAGAGTCTTACAGACTAAGGAGTTAGCACAAGAACAGAACAGAACAGACTTTTCATACAGATTATTTGTATTGTTGTCTAAATGGGGTATGCTATCTGTATGGGAGGAAGCCTCCCACATAAATTGAGTGGAATCCTGGGCCTGTCAATCACTAGCTGTGTGACCTTGAGCTACTTACCTAATTCTTTGGTGAAGTAAGGGCAACAGCGTCCATCTCATTGGGCTGGGGAGAGGATCATGTAAGATATAGACTGGGCTTTGGCCCTTAGTGCGTATGTGTATGTGACTATGTATAACTATAGTATAATGCTCCCCGTCTGATAATGGGATTGACCTTGAATAAACCTCTCTGAGCCTCAGTTTGTATGTTAGTGAAGTGGGGAAACAGAAGTCCCAATGAAACTGAACAAAATAATGAACACCAACGGGCTTTGTTAATTAAAACATGTCTGTCCATCCAGCTGGTCCTCAATCCACCCATCTTCCTGTGTGTGTTTTCCCTGGGCCCTAGTATGAGGGGTGGAAATTCGGAGGTGAGTTCTGAAGTATGTCCCACAACTGGGAGCAGAGCAGCCACCAACTACATTGGGCAGCAGCTTCCCGGGACTCCCTCCGTGGGCGCCAGCTCCAAGTCCTGGGGTGCTGTGCGGAACTGCAGGATCTCCTAGCCGTCTCTGTGTGCTGCTCTCCCTCCAGGGCCCAGTTTCCTGTGAGCTTGAGCAGAGATGCGGAGGACTCCAACAAGAGCCAGCCTTCCGAATGGCAGTGGGAGTCCTGGGGACCTGAGGACAGCCCAGCCTAGCCCAGGCTGGGGAGGTGCATCAGCCGGATAGAAACGCCCTGTGAGTGTTGGTTGAGAGTCATCTGCCCTCCCTCCTTCCTTTTCTTGCCCTTTCACTTTCTTTCTTTCTTTCCTCCTCTCCTCTGCCCCACTTTTCTCCTTGATTTCACAACGCTTATTGCCACCAGACCCCGCTGATACAACTTGCAGCCTCTTCCACGGTCTGCAGCCCTGGGGTGGCATGTGGTCCCGTCTACAGTTCTAACAGTTTTAAAACAAAACTTTTAAAAACTTTTAAACAAAACAAAATCAATTATCAAGCTTTGAGCCACCTCTCTTGCAAAAATAAACTTTTTTTAATAAGCTGCTTCTGCTGCGAAAGGAAACCAGGAGAAAACGATTTACAGATTATCTCAGACTTTGAAGTGAGAACCACAGCGCTGACCTCAGTTCCCCTACCAGGCTGAGTGTAAACAAGCCTGGGGATGAGTGAGTGAGCGCGAAGCAAGGCTCTCACCCCACAGGAGCCCCTTCCCTGCCGAGCCCAGCCCTGCCCCCTCACCTGGACAGAGCCCAGAGAGTCTCACCTGCGTCCCGTCCAGAGCAGGTGCTCAGAGACTTTCCCTCTTAAAAATCTTATTGAAGCGCCACTAAGCACACGTCTGACTGCCCCCATGCTGTGTGTTAGTTTCACTTTTCATCCACTAGTGCAATTTTACACCTGCAGGTCTGCCTCTCCCACTGGGTGAGGCTCCTTGAAGGCAAGCGCTAACAGGATGTAAAATAAGATGATGCTGGTCACCTGTTCTGCCTCCAGTCTCTCTTCTGGGACAGCTTCTTGGTTTTGTTTGGTGGAACTGCCGATCAAAGGGCCCTGCCTCTCCCAAGCCAAATCGATTAGAAGCCCCTTCCCCGTGTTTGGATTTGACTAGGGGGGCTGAAAGCCTGAAATGCCTGAAGAACAGGGGTTTTGAAGAGCCTGTCCTATGGCTGCTCGGGTTTCTGGCCTCTCACAAGCTCGGTTCTTCAGCTTTTCCATCAATGCTGTGAGTTACCCTGCAGCCAGAGGTCGCTTCTGTTGCTTATAATTGAAGAACCCTGACCTAATGGAGAGATGGTACCCTCTTTATCTCCATATTCCCAGGTCCAGTACGTGGCCTGACATACAGCAGGCCTCAAGAATGTTGACCTGAATTGAATTGTGTTGACTCCTCACTTGGAGTCTGGGGGGCTACACAGGAAGTCACCTGGATGTCTTTGATGGAAGAAGCTGAGTCATCATTATTTCCTGGTCTCCTTGGCTCGAACAGTGCTCACCAGGAGCCATCCCCAGTGCACTAGGTCATGGGCCTGGGGTTCCACGGACTCCACACAAAGCAGAGCAGAAATTAGCAGGACTTTCATCCCATCTCGAAAGTTTGGTTCCTCCTTCCTCTTGGGCATGGGCACAAGTCCAAGGCCCTGTGGAATTCTGACCCAGCTTTCCCACTTCCAGGCTTCCCCAAACATCACTTGCTCTATGTCCTGTCTCTCTGTCTAACCCTGAGCCACCCAATTCTGCTTTTTCTAGGAGTTCTGAAAACACTAAATAATACTGTTTCAGTATGTTAGCTAACAGAATGTACAGATATCTTAAAAATCAGAAATCAGATAGGATGTTTTCAAGTGGGGCTTTAGAAGGAAGGTTTCAATGCTGGCAATTAAGTTACAGGCCCCGAATGGGGAAGGTGTGAGGTCCCGCACCTTTTCCCTATTTTCCAGCTCAGGGTCAATCTAGTCTTTCTCACGCACTTCCTGTCAATATTACTAAATGATTGCCCTCACTTCAGAAGTCAATGGCAAGTTACCCACACTTCTTTCTGACTTGGCTGTGAATTAGGGCTTCCCACAACCCCCTCTTCAGGTAAGATAATTTGCTTCAGTGGCTTACAGACCTCAGGGAAACACTTACATGGTTTATTATATAATAAAGGATACAGTTAAACAGCCTGAAGAAGAGGTCCATAGGGAAAAGTCTGGAAGGGTCCCAAGTACAGGAGCTTCTGTCCCTGTGGAGTTGGGGTCCACCAGCCTCCTAGCTCGTGGATGTGTTCACCAACCTGGGAGCTCTCTGGATCCCATACTTCAGGCATATTTATGGCTGCTTCACCATGTAGGAATGGTCAGTCGTTAACTCAATCCTAGCCCCGTCCTCCTCCCTGGAGGATGGTGGGGGGCTGGGGCTCAAAGCTTCTAATGTTGGCTTGGTCTTTCTGGTGACCCACTCGCTTCTTGAAGCTATCCAGGAGCCCACCAAGAGTACCTCACTAGAACAAAAGATACTCCTGTCACTCAGGAAGTTCCAAGGGATTTAGGAGCTCTGTCAGGAACTGGGGACAGAGACCAATAAGTAATTCTTATTGTTTCACAATTATTCATATGGAAGTGAATTAATCCCTATTGTGAAGTGACCTATAGTTGTCCAGTATCCTCACTTAACTACTGAATGGTGTGCAACTTTTGAGTCCTTTGGTTTCTTAAGCTCACACAGGGTAGAATTATTTCAGTCATTTTCGGACACACAGCAAAGCTGCTCAGTAAATGAGCAGTGGAGGGATCGATGGCTCCCTGAGCCTGTTACTGCTTTCTTTCTTTGCAAATTTAACTTTCGTTTATAGACATTTTCTTTACATAAAAGTAGAGAGAACATGTTAACCACCATATACCTATTATCAGCTTCGATAATTATCATTTTTCTATTCTTGTTTCATCTATACTCCCACCAACATTTTTTTTTCTTGCTAGAGTGTTTTACAGCAAATCTCAGTCATCAGGTGATTTCAACCATAAAGACTTCAGTATAGATTTCTAATAGGAAAGGACTTTTTTTTTTAACCTCAGCTGAATGTCATTTTCACACCTAACAAAATTAACAATCATCTCATTATCATCCTAATACTTAGGCCAGATTCAATTTTCCTTGATGATCTCGAAAGTGTCTAGTTTTTTTGTGTGTGAGGAAGATTGGCCCTGAGCTAACATCTGTTGCCAATCCTCCTCTTTTTGCTTGAGGAAGATTGTCACTGAGCTAACATCTGTGCCAGTCTTCCTCTATTTTGTATGTGGGATGCCACCACAGCATGGCTTGATGAGTGGTGTGTAGGTCTGCACCTGGGATCCAAACCAGCAAAACTGGGCCACCAAAGCAGAGCATGCTAACCCAACCACTACACCACAGGAACTGCCCCTCAGAAGAGTCTTTCTATAGTTGGTTTGTTCACAGTACGATTCTTAAAAGAGTATCTAGTATTGGATTGGTATGTCTCTACATGTGTTTTAATCTCTAAGTTCTCTTCCTTTTTTTTTTTGAGGAAGGTTAGCTCTGAGCTAACACCTGCTGCCAATCCTCCTCTTTTTTTTTTTGCTGAGGAAGATTGGCCCTGAGCTAACATCTGTGCCCATCCTCCACTATTTTATATGTGGGACACCTGCCACAGTATGGCTTGATAAGCAGTACTTATGTCTGTGCCCAGGATCCAAACTGGCAAACACCGGGCTGCTGAAGTGGAGTGCACAAACTTAACTTCTGAGCCATTGGGCCAGCCCCTCCTTTTTCTTTTTAATGCTGTTTATGTGTAGAAGAAGCCAGGTCATCAGTCCTGCAGGTATTTCCCATGGTTTGGATTTGGCCGACTGCACCTGCCTGGTGACATTTAACATGTTCCCCTGTCCCAGGACAGCAAATGCAAGTGATGCACCGGGCCACATGGCCTGAGCCTGCATGGTTTCAACAAAGCTTAAATGATGAAAATTGTGGTCCCACATTAAGCATTGCAGCTGTTGCTCTGTTAGCTGCCTCACCCGTTTCTCCCAAACGTTGTATGTGGGGAAGGGGAGGTAAAGGGAGAGGCCTAACCAATGGGCACCCTTCGCCAATGACAGGTAAATTCCCCAGCTTCCCCCTCCGCTGGTAGGATCACTTTGAAGCATGTTCTAGATGGTTGTTCAGGGCATCCCCAGCAGGACTGAGCCCCAGTTATCCATAGCAGTAACCATCCTTCATTTGCCCTTTGTTATTAATTTATTAATAAAGGGTAACCAGCCTTAATTATTAACATGCACACTTCATTGTCCTTTCTCTCAGGTTTTACTTTCTTCTTTCCTTGACTTCTTCCTGAGACCATCTCCCAGATAAACTACCTGCATCCAAATCCTTTCTCAAGCTCTTCTTTTGGTGGGACCCAAACTGAGGCACCTCTCTGTTTTCAGTCAGTGGTGGTTACATCTAGAGGTTCGGCTAGATTCAGGTTCCTTTTCTTCTTCTTTCTCGCAGGCTAGCTTCTTCCGTGGTGCTGCATAATTTCTGTTGTACCACATCTGTCACTGGCAGTGTGTGGGTGGGGAACCTGCTAGTATTTTGTGCATCCAAATATTAGGGATCTCCCTGGAAGACTCAGGAGCCTTCCTCTACGGTTTCCTGGTAAGCCATTCTGCAGCCACCCTCCCTGCATTTATATCTAAGCTCTTCCAGGCTGATTGCTATTCCCCGCCTGCAGGTAGAATGCTCTTCCTTTAACAGGAGCATGCTTGTCTGGCTGCCCATCACATGGAGGTCTCAAAGCAACGGAGCTCCGTTCCCGTCACCTCTCCAGAGTCTCCATGTGTGAGTCATTTCTGCTGGGGGTGTATACGTTTTAAAGTCCTCGTGGATGGAACACTTGGTATCACAAAAAAAGAAGCTCATCAAAGGTGTGCTTTGCTCGGCTGGTTGGCTGTTAACCAATTCCTATGAGGCTTAGCACCTTGTAATGAAAAGGCAGAGGGGGAGGACAGGTGCTTGTGTGGTGTGCGTGTGTTTATACTCGAGACCTCTTTCCCCGTAGGTGGCACAAATCACTGCCTAGTGGGTATAATTTCTCCTTCTGAGAAGCCTCCTCCCTTCTGTGTTTCCACCCCCTCTCCCCAATTATTTCCCTCCCGTCTGAAATATCTGAAATGGAGCACATTAAGGTGGGAGGACGCTTGTAAGTGAAGATAGCATGGAATTTCGAGTTAGAAGCCTGAATGATTCACTGTGTGACCCTGGGCCAGTCACCGAACCACTACGGGCCTATTTTTCTTATCTTTAAGTTGGATATAATAAAAGTATATGTTAGAATGCTTTGAGTTAACAAATCAAATGAGAGAGTGCATGGGGAAAAAAGAACATGTAAATAGTCAGTATGAATGAGAGAGCGTGTTCCTTTGCCTCAGTAGGAATAGATTTTCAATTCTTTCTTGGACAAGGTTTGATAGGAATAGAAAATGAGGCTTGAACCAGATCGGGTGCTTGGTTACAAACAACAGAAACAGACTCAGGCTAAAAGAAGTAGACAGAAGACTTATTGACAGCGTATTGAGTAGCTTTTAGACTTGCCAGGAGGCTGCAGAGCCAGGTGTGGAAAATGATCAGGAGGGAAGAGCTCTGGGCAATGATCACAGTCATGGTCAAGACCAAACCTCAGAACTGCGACACTGGCACAGCTGCTTTTGAACACAGGACAGCACGGCTTGCTCTGCGCTGCTGTGGCCTGGAACGTTCCATGGCCCTGCTGCAGCTGGTGCCTCCTGCTACCAGATGGTTCTCGGTGGTCCCTGCTTCTTTGCATCACTTGCTTTTTTTTTTTTTTTTGAGGAAGATTAGCCCTGAGCTAACATCTGTCAATCCTCCTCTTTTTGCTGAGGAAGACTGGCCCTGAGCTCACATCCGTGCCCATCTTCC